AAACCATCAGCAGGATATAGCCATTAACAAAACAGCCTTTGGAATCAGCACGTTTTAAAATTAACTCAGTTTTCAAGTAAGCATCTTAATGCCCGCGGTTTTAGGATGCCTCAGCGTGCTGGAGCTCATAAAGGTATAAATCATGAATTTACCAATGTGAATTTTATCCATTGTGAATGATACATAATAATTTGATGAATGTGATTTGAAGACTGGAGTAATAATTAAAAGCCAAAGGAAAATGTCTGGAGGTCGTTAATGTCGTGTAATCTGTGATTTCACTGGGACTGTGACTTTCTCTTGCTCCAGGTTTACGTGCACTCCTCTGAGGTTCCTCTGAGGTGTCTTCTGAAACAAATTTCTTTCGAACTGAAAGTGAAGAAAGATCTGATTCTTTTCTTGAATCTGAAAACACACGTGCTAGAATAAATCCATAGTTTTAAGCATCCAAGCAGAAAAACAAAATTGCCATTCGTATTGCTTCAACTCACTCCTTGTTATTTTCTAAGTACCTCAACTGAAAAACAAAAAACATATACAACTCGGGTTTAGGAAATAGAGTAGATTATACCAAAAAGTGGCAGTTAAACTGGTGATTGATTGGAGTGGAATATGGTCCAAAAGTGAAATGATTTTTTATAATTTTGATATTTTTCTTCCTTTTGGCTCAGCAGGTAACATCTGGTCATGGGAGGAAATCACGTGCAGCCTAAATTCATCCTCTTGGGAATTACAGACAGTCCGTGTGTGCGGGCCCCTCTTTTTGGGTGGTTTCTATTGATTTACATTGTCACTGTGGTGGGGAACGTTGGGATTATGGTCTTGGTTTGGGTGGTTCCCAGCCTCCACACCCCCATGTACTTCTTCCTCACCCATTTTTCATTCGCTGACGTCTGCTATTCCACAGTCATTTCCCCCAAAATGCTAGCAGACCTCTTATCAGAGAATAAAACCATTTCTTTCGCTGGCTGCGTGACGCAGTTCCATGGCTTTGCTTTCTTTGCGACTGCCGAGTGTCACCTCCTGGCTGTGATGGCCTATGACCGGCACGTTGCTATCTGCAACCCCCTGCTTTACGTGACGGTCATCTCCAGCCGCGTCTGCCGGCAGCTGGTAGCATCGTCCTACCTCATCGCCTTTCTCAGTGCCATCATCTACACAGGCTGCACGTTTGGGGGTTCCTTCTGTGGACCCAACCAGATCAACCACTTCTTCTGCGACGTCAGCCCCGTGCTAAAGCTTGCCTGCTCCGACACCCACAGCAGCGAGATGGTCATCTTTGCCCTTGTCGCCATAAACGCGGTGGGCACGAGCGTGATCATTTTGCTTTCCTACGTCTGTATCCTCCGCACAGTCCTGAGGATGCGCTCGGCACAGAGCAGGTCCAGAGCCTTCAACACCTGCGCCTCCCACTTGACGGCTGTCTCCTTATTCTACGGGACAATATTCTTCACGTACCTACAACCTGCGTCTAGCCACAGCAGCCTGGATAAGGTGGCCTCCATCTTCTACACCGTGGTCACCCCCATGCTCAACCCATTCATCTACAGCCTGAGGAACAAGGAGGTGAAGGGCGCTCTGGTGAAGTGCAGGAGAAGGATGTTAAACCGCTGTCAACATAGAAGAGCTGTATCAGCTAGGAAGTGAACAGCTTATCTTATGCGAGAAAGCCTGTGATGCATTAAAACAATCGAATTTTTCCCTAATCCTCACAGTTTTATGTAGGTTCTTCCACAGTTTCTGCACAGAAGTCAATTACAGTATTTAGCCCTGAGAAATAGACCCCGCAATCGTATCTTCCTTGGAAGGAAACCGGGAGGAGCGGGAGCCTCAAACTTTATTTCACTTTGCAGTCACCAGTCTGTAGGAAGAACTCACCCTGAATTATTCCCGGCTTCTCTTCCTCACAGGAAGCACGAATCACAGTTTTATTGATTTATAACTTTTCTTCACTGAGAAATATGTATTTTTCTTGCAAGATTGTTGACCTTATCCCTAAACTCCAATAAAATTCCTCACTGTTACCCGCAAGTTATTTATTAGAGTTAAGCTGCTGGGGTGGGAGGGAACCTTTTGGAAGAGTAAGTGTATTTTAAAATTTGCTTGCCAAAAAAAGGTAAGATAAAAGGCTTGAAAAGATACAGTGCATTTGTTTCCGACTTAAAAAGTGAAAAAGCTGGCGGGAGTCAGGATCTCAAGCTATACCTCTGAATACCCAGGGGGATCCCTCCCCAGGCTGCACACTTCGGCATGCGTCTCCACTTAAAGGAAGAAAGTGTAGGCAATATAATTAAAAACACAGGGCGACGAACCCTGCTGGGACTGCCCAGTGTTAAGGACAATTTCTGCGCAGTGATTGCGTCAAGGGGGCCTGCCGTTCATTTTAAACGGGGTTTTAAATTCATCTTAAGTGCCGTTTGCTTAAGTGGTGAGACAAATGGAATTGCGCCTGGAGCTATGTGTCACTGTCCCATGACATGTCCCATCACGTCCAAATGCCCAGCTCATGATAAAGCACGCCATGAAAACCAAACGGCGTATTTCATTTAAAAATTAAGCGTGTGTCTAGTTTCCATGGGTGAAAGACAATCCTGAACGCGTAATCTGTGGGTAGCTGATAGCTGTCGGGGTCTGAAAAAAGCCAAAACCCAGCAGTTCTGCAAATTATGGCTCGTTAAAGAAGGGGGGACACAAAGCACGGTGCAGGAATGGCCGCGACACTGGGGAGGGGCCA